GATTTCCTTCTTGAAGAATGTCCAGCCTTCCTGGAATCCTTTGCCCTTGAAGACTGCCTCCCAAAGGACTCTGTCAACCAGGCCTCTAAACAGGCCAAAGTTCCCTCCGGAAGTCCAAAGTAGTAATTCTGCTGACCCCTCCCCTTCCTTCTCCAAGAATCGAAAACTCTATCATTTCATGATCACTATGCTCAAGACAGCCTTCAAGTGTCACCTCACCCACGAGGCCTTCTCTGTTCACAAACAGCAGGTCCAGTGGGGCACCTCCCCTGGTTGGCTCCCTCACCAGCTGCGTCAGGAAGTTATCTTCCACACTCTCCAGGAGCCTCCTGGACTGTTTCCTCTCTGCTGTGTTGTATTTCCAGCAGGCATCTGGTAAATTTATGTCCCCTACAAGAACAAGGGCTAGCGATTGTGAAACTTCTCCCAGCTGCTATAGAATATTTTGTCCACCTCTTCATCCTGTTTGAGGGGTCTGTAACAGACTCCCACCATGATATCTGCCTTGTTGGCCTTTCCCCTGATTGTTACCCATAAACACTCAACCCTATCATCACCATCATTAAGCTCTAGACAATCAAAACATTCCCTAATGTACAAGGCTACCCCACTGCCTCTCCTTCCTTGCCTATCCCTTCTAAAGAGTTTATAGCCATCCATTGCAGCACTGCAGTTGTGAGAGTCATCCCACCATGTTTCCTGTGGAACCTTCATCTCTCCCCTATGTGAAAAATATTTTGATCCGTATGATTGACAGCCTACCAATAGGACCTAACCAGTTTCAGCTGGCACTTGCTCAGTACAGGGATGATTTGTCCACTGAATTTATGCTGGATACTTACAGAAGAAAGGGTCCTATGGTGAATCATATCAGGAATGACTTCACGCTTAATGGTGGGAGCTCAGTGCAAATTGGAAATGCCCTCAATGCGGCTTATGAAACCTGTTTCCAAAAGTCAGCAAATTAAAAAGAAAAGCAACAAATCATTGTGATTTTGACATCAGTACCCTCCGAAGATTATGTTGGAGAAGCTGCCAGAAGCTTGCAGAGTCTTGGAATAAAGATAATAGCTATAGGGACAAAAGAAGCTCCATATGACAAACTTTTTTGTGATGGCCACCCCACCATTTCATTACAAAAATCTAGTGACAGAGGAGCTGCCTAAATTCTCAGAATATATGCCACAGATCATTGATGATATTTTCCAAGTAAACATCACCAACTTAATAGGTATACCTGATTACAGTAACATAGATGTGCAAGAAGGTAAGCTGTGCTATTTCATGTCAGTCCCATAAAGAGTAATGATCATTTTCAGTAATCTAATGATAATTATTTTTATATCATTAATATAAAATATTACCATTAATAATTATCATTATTCAGTATTCTAATGAAAAAAATAGAAAAATATTATCATTGGAATTATCTCCCCAGGGAAGTGGTTGACTCTGCTATGCTGAACATGTTTAAGACTCAGCTGGACATGGTGCTGGGCCATCTCGTCTAGATTGTGCTAGAAGGGTTGGACCAGATGATCCTTGAGGTCCCTTCCAACCTGGTATTCTATGATTCTATGATTACTCTGAGATTAGGGCATCTTTTTATTACTTTTAAAATATTTGTCAGATAGGTTGTCCTAAACCATGCATTACTTGCATGGAATAAGTATTATTTTCCTGGAGTTTTTCTGTCATCCAGAGGGACATTAGGAAGGGAAGGAGGGGAAGAGTTATGATTTGTTACAGGAGAGAGAGAGTGATCACGCCAAGTGATCTTATGTCCCGTTTCAGGCAACCTCTGTGCGGTTGTGCTGCTTGGGGGCAGTGCGACTTTTACTGCATTTCTGGCTGGCAGTTGTTTCATCCAGCTGCCTAAACACTCCTTGGTAAGAGCTGCAAAGTAAAAGAAACATTAATTTTTAGCTGTATGCAAATTTCCTAAATCTGGATAAAACTTGTGGGATAAAGCTGTCTTCCCACCTTGTCTGAAAGGGCTACGGTAGACAAAGGATGTGTAGGGTTTCCTTTAAAAAAAATCAGTAAACTTTTTCAGCAGAAGGTCTCAAATAACTCTAAACATAATTAGTGAAACTATGAATTCTCCTGTGTTACACAAACATACACACAGAGAGAAAGTTAATGTTACCAAAACAATCACTGCAAAGGTAGGAAAGCATAAACTGAAAGTTTCCTGAGCAATGTTAAATAGTACTTCCTCTTGCATGTTAACTACAGATGTGTCTTTAATGACTTTCTAATTTTCCCCGTGGGAACTCTCTGTCATGCAGAAACAGAGTGTACAGATGGCAAAACTGGTGCTGGTAAGCAGTTCTGAACCCGCCAACTTCCAAATGATGGATTTTGCAGCTTTGTTTTGTGTTTTATTTCATTCTTTGAAAAATATGTCTCCGTTTCCATAACAACTGGTATTAAAGGGTCTGTGAAGAATTAGTTAGTTGGAGCAGAACTCCTGTGCTGGGTTTCATCATATGAAATATTTCAAAATGTGAAATATTTCGAAATATGAACTGAATCCAGGCCTTTGATATTTGTAACAGAAAGAAGGCACAGGAAAGAAATTGCTTTCAAGAATTCAAATTCTGAAAGAAATTGAGTACTTGAAAGCATTTTCTTTACTAGGAGTAATGTAAAGAATTAATTTCCTTAATAAGAAATGTAAGATCTCAGCATTGTCTCAAAATGAAGTTGCAGTCTGATCTTGAGGATTCACAGATGTGGCAGCCTCTGTTAAAGTTAGCAAGAATTTCAGATGTTGGGCAAGTCAGCATTTGTCTAGAACTCTGTTAGTTAAATGTTGTAACAGCTTTTAAAAAAGTAAAAACTATGTAGAACAGCTTCTAGGTATAGAAACTGTTTAAGCTTTTCTATTTCTGTTCCTGGACTATTGCTGAGTGAGCACTATGTCACTTTATTGCCTCAACATTGTGTTCTCTGTGCCTGGAGTCTTAGTTAAAAATTGTTAATGCTATGTTTTTGTGTGGCCTCTGCAGATAGTACAGATATTGTCCTGTTGCTTTCTGGCCAACAGGACACGGGAAATTACACATTTCCTTACATGAAAGACTTTGTTAGCAAATTGATATACAATCTGCCACTGGAATCTGACCAATACCGTCTTGCACTTGCCCAGTACAATGATGATGTTCGTGAAGAGTATGAACTGGACACATGTAAAACAAAGCAGGAGATGTTGATGCAGGTGCAAGACATGCAAGCATTGCAAGGTGGGCCGCTAAAAACTGGCAATGCACTCTGTTATATTTATGAAAGATATTTCGAAGAACTGGTTAATGGAGCAGATGATAGAAATCAGGTTTTAGTGGTCCTGTCTTCTTTGCCTTCTGAAGATGACGTGGAAGTGTCAGCGAAAATGTTACAAGACAATGGAATAAAAGTGATAGCCCTTGGGATACATGAATCTGTGGTGCAACAGCTGAGCTTGATGGCTATGCAGTCATTCTTTATTTTCCTAAGAAAAGGGACCTCCCTATGTTTTCTTAAAATGTCTCCAATATTATTGCAGAGTTCCAAATGGATAGCATTAAAGAATGCTATATGTAGGATCACTACACTAGAAAATATAGGCAGGAGTTGAAGTTACAAGAATATGCTTCATATAAAAACCATAAACACTTCTGCTGTTGTATCTCCTAGCTTTTCTGATCTTTTGGTCATTTATTTTAACTTACAATGAGGTTTTATCAGTTTGTCTTTCAGTAGCTTGTCATCTTTGGCTAAAAACCATTTTTACAAACTTGTTTTACTTTAAAATAAAGCAGAAAACCTTGTCTTAGGAAAAAAAAAACCAACAGTCCATAGTTAATTAGTGATAGAAATAGCATGGAAGATGGCCACTAACATTGCTTTATTCTCATCCTTTTTCCTCTGCAGTATGTGATGGAGACTCAGTTGCTGACATTGTGTTTATAGCTGATCGTGGTACTTCAAAGTCAAACTTCGAAGAATTAAAAAAATTCCTGCAAAGCCTAACATCCTCATTGGATGTGAAGGAGAAATGCATAAGAATTGGCCTGGTGATGTACACTGATGGACAAGAAGTGATGTCTCATCTGAACACAGACACAAACAAAGCTGAAATTCTGCAGGTAATACAGAACCTTTCTGCTGGGTCAGGAAAAGCCAACACTGGTGCAGCTATTAATGTCACAAGGCTAAAGCTCTTTAGTGAAAGTGCTGGGAGCAGAAAGAAGCAAGGGGTAGAGCAAATAGCTGTTCTGGTTACCCACAGACTTTCTCAAGACAATGTGAGTGATGTTGCTACTCTTCTGCGGAGAAGTGGTGTGACAGTGTTTGCCATAGGTGTTGAAGATGCTTCTGATCAACAGCTGGTCCAGATAGCCTCTTATCCTCAAGCGCAGTATGTTACCAAAGTCAAGGTATTTTCTGATCTGCAAAGGGAAAATACGATTTTTCGAAAGAAGCTCTTGAATCAAGTACAAAACAAGCTCTATGTCCACTCTGAAAGAAAAGAGATTCTCAAGACAGGTAAAGCTTTCCAAATAACTTTGGTTCATTCCAGGTTAAGGGGTTTTAACTGAAGACTGTCCTGAACTGTGATTGAGGTTTTTGAGAACCTTTGAGGAGAGGAATTTATATTTAAAATTGAACATGGATTCATATTTTACTCATTAGCATACTGCTAAAGTTCAGTAGTATTAAAAGCCTGTTTATTTGTACCATTATTTAATAGGAAGATCTAATACTGGCAGAAACATCAACTGTTAGAGAGTACGTTAAAAACCTACCAAAGCACCATTAGAGCTTGATCTGTTGGAAGATGCTGCGTCTGAATGAGATTTCCCGAGAAATGTTAACCTTCCAATCAGTCTACCCTTTATTTTGATCAAAACTAGAAAATAGACGAGAATGTGTATGTCATAGTTTGTTTTGGCAGATCTTAAGCCATCAGGGTGTATGTCCCGGCAAAATGAAGTGGCTGAGGTTTTCAGACTGGTCTGGAAGTAGTAATAACAATAGAGTAGCCTTAAATATTTTATTAAAAATTACCAGTGGATTTATGCCTAAGACCACTAAAAGCTAGTGGTTTCCTGCTGTAGACTATCAGAACATTAAGTGGACTGCTGCTGGTCCGTGGAACCTTATTCAACAGTAAAACCAGTTATACTGGTTAAATGTTTAACATGGCTCTGTAATGCTGCATGATGAATTCGGATGGTTGATATAAGTTGTACTCAGAAGTCTGGGAATTTCTCGAGGTAGTTGCTTAAAAGCATTTCAAATGTGTTTGAAAACTCCAAGCTATCAGTTTTGTTTTCTGTGGGGAAAGCGGTCATATAGCCATGGATAAATAGTGTTTTGTTTCTTGCTGCCACAACTAGCAGGTTAAGTTTGCCAACTTTTTTGTTACCAGATAGAGAGTTTATCCATGTGTTAGTTTATTATGTATTACAAAAGGAGTGGAGGTAGGTAATCTGTCTATGCGCACAACAGTGATGTAACGCAGACTTTATCATTCCACATAGGATGCCAGGACACAGAAGAAGCTGATATTTATTTCCTCATTGATGGTTCATCAAGTCTTGACTACTCTGATTTTGTGGATATGAAGAATTTTTTGAAGGAAATGATCAGGCTGTTTTACATAGGAACGAATAAAGTTCGATTTGGACTCGTGCAGTTCTCACATTTCAATGAACTGGAGTTTGAACTTAATAAGTACACTTCAGCAAGTGATTTGATAAAAGGGATTGAAAATGTTCGGCAAATAGGTGGAAATACCAGTACAGGGGGAGCTCTAGCTTACATGAAGCCATTGTTTGAAGAGGCCAGGAGGCAGCGAGGAGTTACAGTGCCTTGCCATCTAGTTGTTCTCACAGACGGAGAGTCACAGGACAGTGTGAAGGAACCAGCCATGAAACTCAGGGAAGACCAGGTTAACATTTATGCCATTGGTGTGAGGGAAGCTAATGAAACTCAGCTTTATGAGATTGCAGGAGTGGAAAACAGAGTACACTTTGTACATGATTTTGACTTGCTGAAAGACATTAAAAATGAAGTTGTCCGAGAGATCTGTACCACAGAAGGTAAGACCATGCTTTCACTTTGTTCTGGTTTTGATTTGATAGAGAAATTATTTCATGAATAATGTAAGATACCTTTTTTCTAGCTTGAACAATTTCGCTGTTGGTCAGTTGAAGTTTTCAGAGGGTGATGGTGATTTTTGTGTAGCTTAAATGTTGACCAATATCATGAAAAGGTCTTATTTCCGAAAAACACCAAGCATCTCTTGCCTGTATATTACAGACTTTATCCCTGGTCGCCCAGAAAAGTTGCGGATGCCTGATCTTTGGAAGCGTTCAAGGTCAGGTTGCTTGGGACTTTGAGCAACCTGATGTAGTGAAAGATGTCCCTGCCCATGGCAGGGGTTTGGACTAGAGGATCTTTAGAGGTCCCTTCCAACCCAAACCATTCTATGATTCCATGATTCTATGGAATTGAGCTACCGGTGTCAAAGGCACCCAAAATCACATATCACTGTAGAACAACTAGGTCTGTGAATGTATCTAATTTTGAATGTATCTTCCTTAAAGCTTGCTATTAAGTTTTCCTTATCTCAAAAAAGCCAGTCTCTTTTATCAGGTGTAGATAGGCACAGCATATCCCTTAAATAGGATTCCAGAATTGAGATGTGCGGCCATCAAAATAAGCCAGTTTTACAATTTAAAGTAACGATGTAGAAATAAGTATTCCCTAAACAGTAGCTTTTTGGCCAGCATTCACCAGGAAACAAACAAAGGTTGTGTTGCGCTAAGGCCTCCATCCCTGGTTTATTTCTTACAACACTATAAAACATTAATGAAAAAATGTGCTTAAATGTGACCCACCAGTGTGCAGGCTGTCCAATTGTACCTATCTATCATTTGATGCACCTCTTTCTGTAAAACAAGTTGCTGTTTCCTACCTCACTGAAATGAAGAGAAAATTTTCAGGTTTCTCAGGCTCCAAAACTTGACTAGCAACACGCTTTAGATTTTAATTTTAGAATTTCCTTGCTGATCTTTAAGACGCTGCTTCAGTTGCTTGGCTGTGATTTAATGCTGACTGATCGAATTGCAGCTGATGAAGTTAATAATGCCCTTGTTCAGATCTGAGGGGTAAAGTATTTTAGTCGCAGTCATAGCTTATCAATGAACTAATAAAATCTAGAGTTTGAAAAGGCTTATGCTGAATTTTTTTCTTTCTTTTCTGTTTCTGAGGTTATTCTGTTTAACCTGTTTATGTTTTTTCTCAAAAAAATTTAAATAACCCTAAGCTTAAAAATCTTTTTTTTCCTTGACAGTCTGCAAAGAAATGAAAGCTGATATCATGTTTCTAGTGGAAAGTTCTGAAAATATTGGAGATGAGAATTTTCGGAAAATTAAGAACTTCATGATAGAGCTGGTGAACATAACAGATGTTGGTGCAGACAGAGTGCAGGTTGGTGTTGTCCAATTCAGCAACAGACCAAAGGAAGAGTTCAAGCTCAACACCTACGCCACCAAAAGAGATATCTTCAGTGCTATTGATAGGATATCTCCCCTTCAATCCACCACACTGACAGGAGAAGCACTGAAGTTCATGCTTAAATACTTTCAAGCCAGTAGTGGTTCACGTCACACAGTTAAAAAAGTTCTCATCCTGATCACAGATGCGGAATCACAAGATGAAGTTAAAGCCCCTGCCACACTACTCCGAGATAAAGGCATTATCATCTACTCTGTTGGAGTTTTTAACGCAAACAAAACTCAGCTTGAAGAGATTAGTGGGAAGAGTGAGATGGTATTCTATGTTGAAAATTTTGATGCTCTAAGCAAGTTAAAAAGGGACCTCATTTTTTACATTTGCAGTAGTCCTCCTGATGATCGTAAGTATGGTAACTTTCAGTGATTTATTAATGCATGAGCAATCATGGGGTTTTTGTTCTGAACTTGCTACGATGAAGTGTCACAGTCACAGAGCTGGCTGCCTCTCTGTCCTAGTGTTAGTTTGTTCCATGCAAACTCTGCTTCTCACTGCTCTGTCTCCGAGAGGGGCACTTCACAGGTCTCCTAGGGTACCACGCTGGGTCACAGGGCTCTTGACCACTCTGTTCACACCCTGGAGGTCTAGCTGAGCACGGGTGCCTCTGATTCTTTCCCTTGGGTGTGTGAGATTAGACACCTGTGTGGAAAAGTATGAGTCTTTACATAGCGTGAATAAAGCTTACAGAGAAAAGGCTTCACTCATGTCTTCCTTTGAAGTCTAACTGCCATCTCATTATGCCTGCCTTTCAGCTGCTATTTCTGTGGACTCCACACAGGGGCAAGAAAGGGAGCTTCTGCTGATTCAGTTTTTTTCTGACTAGCAGTGTTGGAAGCACCCACACTGTCACTGAATGCAGTTCTCTGGGGCCAGAGGCAACTAGAGTTCAATCAGTGTCTTTGGCAAGAGTACATTTGTAATCCCACTTGAAATTTCTTATTCTTCTATGTTCCCAGATGTTGCCCTTTCTAGACAAAACCAATTAAGAATTCAAACCATTGTCTTCTTCATTTTTTTTTTCCCCTATGCAGATTAAATAAATGTAGTCATATTAAACCACACTGGCTGGCAAGCTTGCATACAGTATTTGTAATCTTTATAGACCTGGCCAACTAAGTGCACTGGATTGTTGTTTTTCTTGGGACGATACCTTTAAGTGGGGGTGTCAATGGGGAAAGCAGTTAGGCTGCAAAAAGAAGCAGATGGGGTGTCCTGCTGCTGTGGGCTCTCATGGATGTCAGCCATGCTTGCAAACATGAGATAGGATTTTAAAAAACAGTTGAGTAGCAGCTGTGCATTGTCTGACTCAGTTGCACTAAGGCGTACTGTATTGTTGTGACAGCGCAAAAGACCTTAAAGGGTGTGTACTGTTTGATCTCTCTCTGCTGTATAAACATAGAACATAGAGTAGCTTGCTAAAACTCAGATTCAAAGTTGCTGCTTCAGTCATGGAAATTGCACTTACTTAAAAGAGGTGGGGTTAACTGTTGAGTTCAGTACTGAGCCTGCCCAGCATTCAGTTTCTGAGCTTTCAAAACTCCCTTTCTTCACCTAGGGGTGAGGCAGTGGAGGCTGAGGGGAGAGTGGGGACAAGAACAAAGCATAAGGCATGCAAGGGTGATGTATTCAAAGTCCTAAGAGGTCCAAACAGTCGATGTTCAGACATGTGGCTAGTCTTTGTGCTACTGCAATACAGAACTTGTAACTAAGGAGAGTTTTTAAGTACTACTGCAATTAGCCAAGATGCTAAGCATCATTTTTTCTTCTCAGCAGTTTTGGAAAAGGCATCGGTAGCTTATGCAGTGAGAAAGATCAGGTGTAAACAGGGAAGCTTGTAATATAATGAGTCACCAGCTATCATCTGTGCTGCTCTGTATGTCTGCAACTGGGAGAACACTGCCCTTCAGAGGGACCAGGCCGTTCTCCCACCAGGGAGTAAGCTGGAGGAAGGGTGTTAGCCCACCTCCTCAAAGCACTAATTTACAAGACAGAGACTGTAGGAGGCAAACCCACTGCTATGTTTAATTCAGCTATGAAATAAACTTGGATTTTTTCTGCTAGATGTTAAGTATGAAGTGACAAAATGTGCTGTATGAAAGGGGGTGGAAAGTTTCAGTTAATATTCATATCCTGTGGAAGGATAGCTTTAGATATTGTAAGCTAATAGAAATATTTCCACAATATCAACTGAAATATGACAATTTCTGTTTGCTCTATAAACCTTGTACTGTGGTGTCCAGAGCAAAAGGATAGCATTTTTGATAACTGAGACAACATTGTTTAGTCTAACTCTGCTCTGACTACTGGAATCATGAAGTTCACCCTGAACAGTCTCAGAAGCACAAGAATCTGTCGTATGTGCAGCTTAAGGATAGTAGCAAGACAGTTATCTGTGCAAACACCATTCAGTTAGCAAAGTTATACAGACATTTCATAGAACTCTGAGAAATGGACTTGAGTTATTATAATCAGTAAGATTCTGCATAATTTTACACATGAAATCTTCACTTTTCTCAATTTGTGTTTACAGAATGCAGAAGAGTGGAGCGTTTAGACATTGTGTTTGTTATAGACAGCTCTGGAAGCATAGGCTTACAGTACCAGGCCATGAAAGACTTCATGATTGCCCTGGTGAAACAATCTGATGTCGGCCCAGATGGAGTTCAGTTTGGAGCACTAAAATATTCTGATGAACCAGTACTGCTCTTCTACCTCAATGACTATACTACAAAACTAGAGATTACTGAGGCTATCCAGAGAGATGAACTTCTAGGAGAAGCAACTTACACAGCAAAGGCACTGGGCCGTTCAGAAATGTTGTTCACTGAACACCATGGCAGCCGCAAGAGCAAAGGAGTTCCCCAAGTGCTGATAGTGATAACTGATGGGGAATCCCATGATAAAGCCATGCTGGATGATGTGTCCCAGAGATTAAGGGACAAAGGAATTACCATCTACGCAATTGGAGTAAGAGGAGCAAATCGAAATGAGCTTCTGACAATGGCTGGGTCAGAGAACAAATGTTTCTATGTGGATACCTTTGAAGGACTTGAGAACTTAACTGCAAATATAACAAATAATATATGTAATATTTCAGTACCAGGTAAGTGTATACTCACTATTGGCTTTTGTGATCAGCTTCCTCTTCCCCTACCACTGTGGTTGAAGGACAGTCTTGCAAAGGCATCTGTAAGATCGGTACAGATAACATCATCTGTTCTGATTAACGTGATTTAAATTGCAGTCATCTCTGTTGCCTGCTTGTTTGGTTCGGCTCTTGTAGTGGCTACTCTTTCCTACCTTCTCCTTCTGCCATCTTTCTGAATGGAAGTAGCTATGGCTCCTGTGCTTTATTTGGAAGTTGGTCCTTTTGGGCTATGGTAAGCATGCTGAGAGCAATTTGGTTCTTGAACAGGGGGGACATCTCATCTATGAATCCTGAAGAGTCTCAGTTTTGTATATACACATAGGATGGGATTTATCTTTAGCTGTCTACAGCTGTCATGTCTAGTCACTGTAGTTTCCCATTCTAAACAGCATGGAGAGAAATAGGCATTTTTGGTGTGTGAGTCACCTGACCTCTTTAGGCATTTGCATGAGGCTGAGATGAAATGTGCCCTTGCCCCATGGACATTTGGTTAGGCCAATGTAACTTTGTTTGCTCAGTAGGTAAGAGGGAAATGTACCTATGGTTGCTCTGCAACATATGTGCTTACAGGAGTATGTTTTGTGTTCTGGGACTAGATGTCTGAATTTCCATGTACATTACATTTTATGTGCTTAACTTTCTTTTTGTAGTCCTATTTGTTGAGGGTTTTTTTGTCAATATGAGTAGTAGGATGTGGGAGGTAGAGACAGGACTACTAATGATATACATAGAATTGTGTACTTTATTAATAATATATTTTCCTTTATCTTCTGCAGACTGTCCAAAGAAAGCAGATGTTATTTTCCTAGTGGACGGTTCCAGAAACATAGATGAAGAAAACTTCAGGATAATGATGGACTTTGTGACAAGTGTAATCAATCCAGCTGTTATTGCTCAAAATACCAAAATCGGCTTTGCACTGTACGGTAGTGTCTATAAAGAAGAGTTCAACCTAGGCATTTTTCCGAACAGATCAGAACTAGAATTTCGAATTCGAAACATCAAACAAATTGAAGGACAGCAAAGTAATATTGAAAATGCACTTGAGAAAGTGAAACTCAGCTTCCAACCAGAAAAGGGTAGCAGAATACATGAAAATACTCAACAGATTTTACTGGTAATCATTGCTGGACGAACAACCACTAGAGCTGTAAGAGCAGCAGAAAGCCTGAGGAAGAAAGGTGTTGATATATATGCCATAGGCGTGGGAAATGTTGATCAGTCCCAGCTAACACAGATAACTGGATCATCAAGTAGGAAATATGCCGTTGATGACTTTTCTAACTTGAAGACCATAAAAAAAAGACTGGTTGATGTTATTTGTGAGGATGACAATAGAAAAGGTAAACATCCCTGAACCAAACTGTTCTAAGATCTCCATGTGCTGCTTTAAGTGTGCTTCCCAGTTAGAGTGGTTCTTCGAATACATTTGGTTGATCTTCTGCCATACTCTGAAAACAGAATAGAAAAATTCTTCTCACTCACGTGAAGATAATGATCTGCGTGGAATAAATTAGCTACATCCAGTCTCTCTAAAATTGCCGAAAAAAATGACCCAGATGTTTTCTCTTTGCTCCCTCCCTAGAAAAAAGGATATGAGCTGACAAACAAATAACCACTCATGTCAGTTTGCATTGTGTTAGCTTCTCACTTGCTGCCGATTCAGATACTTTCCTTCCCTCGTACATAAGTTAGTTCCCATTTTCTCCCCTTCAGGAAGGGTAAAAAGACACACGTGAACAGTTACAGTGAATTTAGTAAGTTTTCTGCAAGTTCACACCCTGGTGTACACCTCATTAACTTATCCATGTACTTATGTTCTCATTTCTGCAAATTTGAACTGATTGATTGAGATCACACAACCCAGGCTTGAAGATTTTAGTTTTAATTGTTTAAACATCTGTCTGAGCTTTAGAGTGTATAATTTTCATCCATTTCCTTACTCAAAGTACAGCTTTAGCACTTTCAAATAGGTTTTGCTTCTGGGTGAACAGCAACTGTCATGCCATATCATCCAAACACTAATTTGAGAAAGTTAGAAGCGGTTACAACCATTGCAGAGCAGAAATAAACTACTACTAGCAATAGGTGTAATTCTTAAAAATCTGTATTTTCTCCTCTCCTGAGTTGCAGACAGAAATAATATGAGAAAGACATTAATCTCATAGAATACCCATGCAGTGACTCAGTCATACTACAGATTAGAGTGACCTTACATCTAATTAAACAAGCGACATGGTGGCAGTACTTCTTGTTAACGGTTGGACTTGATCTTAAAGGTCTTTTCCAGCCTAAACAATTCTATGATTCTATGATTTTGTGGCATATGCTTTCATTTCACTTCTGGTTTTCCCATCACCTCACATGCAGTGAGAAATGATGCTAAAATGCATATTGAGAGTTGGGGCCACCTGCTCTGTCTGTTAACTGCAGAGCTGTGCATGCCACAATGAATGTGCAAGCACAGGTAAAAAGCATGATGAGGAGCAAAGAAGGGAACCCAAACCTTAAACATTAGGCATAGCATTACTTTTAAAGTAATGAGAATACTAGAGCAGTTCTGTGTTAAATCTCCAGCACAACATGTTAAAAACAAACAGCCCTCTGATCTTCTAAATTATACCTGCTCAATTGCCTGTAGCTGGGAAATAAGGGGAAAAAAGGGACAAAATCTACTGAACTGAGAAGTATCTCCAGTGAAATAATTTCTGAAGCTGATACTGGCGTTGCTATTAAGAAGGATGGGCTCTCAGATTTGTTATATAAGGATAATTACAGAACACATTTTCAGTTAAAGGCATTTGACAGCTTTATCTGTCCAATATGCTTTTCATTTCCACAATTTTTCTCTAGAAATTAAAAATTAATCTTAGTAAGTTTAAGATGAACATGTCTCTAAATGAATTAGAGACCTAAAGATTCATTTTAGATAACCTACCTGAGGCTTGGAGATGACACATTCCAGAGGCTCCTGCCTACGTAGCTGATGTGCATTTGTCTCCCTTTGTTGTGTTTTTTTCTCTTCTGTTTTTCTTTACCTGAAATGAAAATTGTTTGATGCATTTATTTATGATTTGCCCAACAGTAGCTTGCTTTGTGGATATCACTGTGGGATTTGACATCTCATCACAGAGGGAAGGCCACCGCTTATTTCATGGACAGACCAAACTGGAAAAGCATTTCCCTGACATTTTGCAAGCCCTCCTGTCTCTGAGGGACGTGAGCTGCAATCTTGGGTCCAAGGCACAGAGCAGTGTGGCTGTTCAAGTGAAGAATACTGTTACTCCAATATCCACAAAGTTCTACATCGACAAGGATTCTGTCCTGCGTAACCTGTCAGATGCTGTGATCAAGAGACCATCCCAACTTAACGTTGAATTCTTGCAGTCACTCTGGGAAACATTTCAGAACAAGGATGAGACCCGGCAAAAGGTAACGTGATGACTTAGGCAAAAGCCTTTCATCAAAATTGCATAAGAAAGATTGAAATACAATTGTTCTTTGCTTCTGTGTGATTTAAATTCTCTCTTTGATGTCTTTGTAGGTATTACTTGTGTTTTCAGATGGTATGGATGATGACTTAGAAGCCCTCGAACAAAAATCTGAAGAACTTAAAAAGAAAGGTATCTATTTTAGAAAAGTCAGACTGTTTAATTTCTTAGGTGGCCTAGCAATGGGGTGAGAAGAGGTATTGAATTTTTTCTGCAGAAAGAGCAGAGGGAGATTAGCAGCAAATAAAAGGAGTTATAGTCTCAGAGCCCCAGTCGATGTAAATCAGAATAGCTCTATTGAAGTGAGATTGACAATGCCAGATAAGACTGTCTTCCTAGCTTGGCTCTTATCTTTGTCTGTGGCCAGTAGCAGATGTTTCAGAAAACACCTAGTAACAGGGCTAAGTAAACAGTAATGCTTCTTTGGGATGACTTCCCCATTTAGAGATTTTATGATCTGAATCAATCTTTCTTACAATGTTTAATTAACTTTCCTACAACCACACGTCTGTTACGTTTCACCAATCAATCTGCCTTGTCTTCACTGTCTGTTATCACCCAGAAACCTAGCAGAGTGGGGAGAAGTTAGTCTGAGTAGTTATCTTCTCCCCTGCCCTGTAGGCTTCAGTATCTGCATCAGCACCTGATTTCAGAGCCCAGGGTCAGAGAGGTAGGGCAGGAGGCATGGAGAAGCTGCCACAGGCTAAGCCTTTCTGATGTGTGCAGGAGACTGTCATGCAAGAAACAATGAAAAACAGAACTGGAGATGAAAGGGCTAGATTTGCTAAAGGGAGATGCAAGGGGCTTCTCAATTGGTACCAGTCCCTTTGGTGTGTGCTTGTCCCTCCCTCATCCCACACAGACATCTCTTGTCTCATGTCTATTGTCTCTCTCTCTTTTCCCAACAACAACCTTGCAAAGAATTCCCTGTTCTGAACAGCAGGGAAGTGGCAAGAAGAGCTATAGTGGAGTACAAGGGTGACAAGAGCAGCCAGGAAAATGAAGCATAACAGTCCTTTTAGCAAAGATGCTGTTAACTGCAGAGCAGTAATAATGGGGAGATCATGAGGCTTATTTTGACACTATGGCAGCCACATAGGAAAGATGAGAAGACAGACAGATATGCCTAACAGCTCACTCAGCTGTACCAAGGACTGTTTTCCTTGGCGTGTTGTGTATTGTTGGTCAGTTGTCCTGCATCAATAAGCAGATTAGGTGTAGAAGTGTGATTTGGGATTGAGTTTTAAAATACATTTTAAAATAAATTTTAAAATAGCTTTGGTCTTAAGTTTGGATGTTTTTTGTTTGTTTCTGTTGGTTTTTATTTTCATTTCCTGGGGCTGTGCAGCATCATCCAGCTAGAGACTGCTCTCATCTCTGTTCAAGTGAGTCAGGAGTCTGCTAGATTCAGGGAACTTAAATCAGAGTAAACTCAGTTTGTTTGGGTTTGAATCTGCTGATATTGCCAGCTGCATTGTACAACTGTATAAAAGGGACTCAGGACCAAGCCAGAAACCTGGAGAAGTACTGCTTGTTGCTGTTGCTGTGACCAGCATACTCCTCTGTGCATTTGGCTCCTTCCCTAAGTCTCACCCTGGAATCCCAATATAACTGCATTTTCAACTTAATTGTTGCTTCACTGTGCTTTTTTCCCTTGTACAAGGAAATAGACTTTTCCCTGTTGTTTCTCTGAATAATCTGAGTTCAAGGGGAGTACTTCAGGACATTACTGCACAGCATATCTCTTTGCCTCTTGCGTTGCAACCTAAGGAAGTGTCTTGTGGCTACAGGCTTACTCTAATTTTACCCGGGTGTCATTCTAGATCAATGTAAAGACATGCATTCTTACAGCAAAACTTGGTTGGAGAAACAGAGAATTCAGATCTGTAATTTCTCTGATGTCTACCTCAGCTTTAGATCTGCTGTTGTAGCAGATGGAACGATGACTTGGAGCCACCAATATTTATTATTATTTTAATGTAAAAAGAAGTGCAGCCCACAGCTTCTGTTTTTCCTAAGAGCTAAATGATTAAGTGAATATTTATGTTGACACCCAAATCAACCATATGGTCTTGAATCATTAATCATTATTCAAATAAGAATATTTTTATCTTGAGCCTTTTATTGGCTCTTCATTGTCACTAGCACCTCATTTGAATCACTTACAGAATTGTATACCATCAAAAGTATGGCTTTTACAGCTGGCATTTCTAACAGATATCATTCACCTTCTTAATGATGCGTGTATATACAAGGTACAGAAACTGTTTTTCAGTGGAACCTATATTTATATTTATATTTATATTTATATTTATATTTATATTTATATTTATATTTATATTTAATATAATTAGGTTTGGCTGGTCTTATAACTGTTGCTCTGGAAGGAGCCTCCGATTTTCAAAACCTCCGATCCATTGAGTTTGGAAAAGGATTTGAATACGGAACTCACTTAGATATTGGCATGACAGATATCGCTAGCAGGCTATCCAAGTTCTTGGTAAGTTATTTGGTAAAGAACCAACGTACACAGTAAGATCTTGGGTAAAAAACGTGCACAATCAGACCATAAGTATTAAGTCTGGTAAATATGAGTAATAAAGGAGTCATGCTATTAATAGAGCATAAAATCCAGTTGTATTCTTACGGTGAGTGCTTCCGGTAAGAGCAGGAGCAGAGCCATGAGGAAATTTTTGGAAAATACATTTTCATCTGCAGTAACTTCTTCTTTTTAAGAACAATATTGCTGAGAGGACCTGCTGCTGTTTGTCTTGCAAATGTACTGGGGAAGAAGGTGAAATGGGAGCTATGGGAAGACGAGGGATAAAGGTAAGAATACATTCTAGCTTTGTATTGCTAAGTTTGAGTTGTAAGTAATGATGGGCTGCATGTGGAAAAAAATCACACCTTGGGGTCCCCACCTGCAGGTGGTACTTACTGCCTTTGCCACAGCTACTGATGAGTGTGATGCACAAAAATTATTCTGCAACTGAATGCAATGCTGCTGGTGAATGTAATCAGTATTCAGTGATGTCTTTTACCTCTGGGAAGGCCTCTTGTCCAGCCTGATGCTATTACCTTGCAGGTCAGCAAGAGGAGCTGTGGGTAATTAAAGCAGGTTTTTCTTTTGTGAGCTTCTCTTACGCTGCAAATAGATTTCCAACAGTCCTCTTGAGCTGGACTGAGTGATTTAGGTGAGAACTAAACTGTCTTTTTGAGGCTACTGGTCACTGAGATACAAGAAAATGATAAATGCAAAGGAAAAATCTTGTCTTAAAACCAAAACATCTAGCTCCTTTACTTGTGTTGCTAATTTTAAAATCTAAACCTGTTGATTTTTTCATTGTTAGCTGTCTTCTATTGACTGCTTTGGAAAAAGGCAAGAGGATGAAGATGTTTATCTACCTATGTTTTATGGCATGATTTTTGTATATCTTCCAAAATCACAATATACCCTCTGTCTAACAATGCAGGAGGAGGAATCAGTCATCAGTTATGAGTAGTATGGAGGTTGGGGAACACTGCATAACTGATGAGCTCATCTAAAGATTCTAATACTGGTTTTGGTTAGCAATTTGCCTGCTTTTCCCTAGAATGCGTGTCGTTCAGAGATCTCTATTCAGAGCCAGAAGTTCCTAATGACTGCTTGTGTTCCTAATGACTGCATTTTTTAACAGTCTTGGAACAAGTTATGGTAGGAATTGGTTGTTTCTGCAGAAGTCCCAAAAAGAATCAAAATCTCATGAGGACATTGCATTTCATTTCAATAGTAAAGTTTCCATTGAAGTCAATGGAAAAATGCCAGTGAAATGCTACAGGCTAGGGAATTAAAAGTTAACCCATACAAACAAGTAAAAAATACGTTAAACAAAATTATTTGTCTTTTGATTTTTTTTTTTTACTAACTAGATGTCCAGTTAAGGAATGCAACAGACCCCTCCTAAACCTCAGACATTTGTGACTTTTCTTGTATTCTTTTCCTTTGATGTAGTTAAGAAATAGTGGAAAATTCTGTACTGTAGTTCAGTAGTGTAACATTTAATTCCATTAAATTTTAAGTAACTTATTTTGACAGCTTCCATAATAATTGAGAGTTCTGTCAAATGTATGCATTAATTCTAAATAAAAACATGCTCTATCATCTGGGTATTTGAAGAATACACTTTTTCAAAACATCATGAGTGCAAATATGGTAGAAGAATGTCCCCTGTATAAATGAAATGTTACTTTCTATACAGTCCCAATTGCCCCTGTTTTGCTGATTAGATCTCTCCTAAAACAGTTCTCATCAATCATACACATTTTAAGATACTATCTCCACAACTTATTTATTTACTAGTATCCCTCTTTCCTCCTGGGCTCCTAACCAGGGGAACAGTGCACTCTCAACTCTTATGTAAAGATATGTTACATGAACTTCTTCAAAAATTATTGGACTAGAATAAAAAATAATATGAAAGAACAATGTTAAATCAGAAACATCAAGAATTTTTGTACATTTTGTGTTATAAAGAATATAGTCTGAAAAGAGATTGATTTCTAAAAATCTGATTGGACTACACAAGGAAGGACTCTGCACAGAAGCTCAAAAATCTTTGCCATATCTGTTCAGAAGTATTTCTTGGCTAACATCTATTTGGGACTTATTTTTTAAAGCACACTCCTTTCTTAGAAGGACAGGTACCAGACTGTCTCAGGTCAAATCCTTAGCGTGGCTTATGTCAAAAGTAATCACTTGGAGAAGGCATGTTTTATCCTATGGGTGGCAATTGCTTTTTGGTCATCCTCAACATACTTTCTTGCTCATCCAGACTGACAAATGTGGAGCCATTAAAGCAGTCTCATGCCAGTATGAAGAAGCTCCAATCATACAATCATAGAATGGTTTGGCTTGGAAGGGACCTTTGAAGATCATCTAGTCCAACCCCTCTCACCAGCAAAGACAGAAGAGCAATTGATTGACTACTATTGATACAAAAGACATTCAAGAAGAAACTATTTGAAGCAGAAGTAGCCAATGACACTGGTTTTCTATCCAAACCAATGAAACATTTTTCATAAAAATGCAAAATAAGCATTTATGTATGACAGATTATGAATCTTGTGCAAGATTTTCTTTTTTTCCCCTATCAATCAGCTTTTAAAAATTCAGTAATAAAGGTGTATCTCAATGTTGTCTTGAAATGTATAATTAGTTGCTGGAGACACTTTAAAACTTTGAAAGAGCTTTTGCTGGTGCCTGCAGTGAAAGAAAATTGTTTCTCCCTGGAGCATCTAATAAAAACATTGGGCCATCTTCAAATTTAAATGTGGGACAAATAATGCATTAGTGATGAATTAAACTGTTAGTAACATTAGGGGACACATTAGGAGAAAAATGATCAGGAAAGAAGTTGTTTGTTATTCAAGTTTTCAACAGTGTTTGAAGCCCAGAGTAAGCAGAGGGACAAAATAGGCAAAGAACAGTATAATGGCCCATTGAGTTTTTCCAGAGTTCCCCAATAGTTTCTGAAGGTCAACCAAGTATTATAATATTATCTCTCATCTTTTAACTTCAGGGACCCAATGGTGTTAAAGGCAACCTGGGATATCTTGGCGATGAAGGAGAACCGGTAAGTTATAACACTTTAAAAACCTGTGTTTGTGAAAACCAAAACTTTTGAGCATGGAAAAAAAAAGAACATCTAAACTAGCTGGATAGTGAATTTACTAAGCTCTATTATCTTTCCAAGATGAGAACTCCCTCACATCATTTGAATAAAACAGAGACAAGATCATAAAAAATTGAGTAACATTTCTTGGGATATAAAGAACATACATTACAACAACCTGATTAGCTCATGTATGGGTGGGTGCCTACTTAGCAAAACTATTTGGGAATTTATTTTTATTCCCGTAGAAGACTTCTACAAAAAGTAGTTTTTTGTTTTCCTCTTTTTTTTTTCACGTTTTCCTAAGTTATTATTGAAAAATCAAAAAGTTTTGTATGGGGAAACTAAAAGTAAACAAATGGAGACAAACCCAGTCATTTTCTGCAGAAGAAACTGGCCAGTTTGGGCCAGTCAAGACCCAGGCATCCATTTGGGTCAAGATCTAGGCATCCATTTTTAGGTATTTTTGGTTGTATCCAAATTAGATGTGTTTTTTGAAAACCATCCAAACCATATCCTCTTGATTTGACTCAAGTGTCATATTTTTTGATGCTGGTAGGTTGCTGAAACCAAAAACCA